TTGTTAGTCCTTAGGAGGACACATTGCCAGCAGAGGATCAGCTTGGGATCTGAACCCTATCCTGGCAGCCGGAAAAGCCATTCTCAATCTGGCATCAATAGGTAAAGGTCTCCACCATTTTCTTCATTTTGACACTGTGTGGACTGAACTGAGGTTGTAAATAAGGGAAAGGATGCAACAGGTACAGACACAGATCATAGGAACATAAGAAGAGAGTTACATTATTATTATTATTATTATTATTATTATTATTATTATTATTATTATTATTATTTGTTAGTCCTTAGGAGGACACATTGCCAGCAGAGGATCAGCTTGGGATCTGAACCCTATCCTGGCAGCCGGAAAAGCCATTCTCAATCTGGCATCAATAGGTAAAGGTCTCCACCATTTTCTTCATTTTGACACTGTGTGGACTGAACTGAGGTTGTAAATAAGGGAAAGGATGCAACAGGTACAGACACAGATCATAGGAACATAAGAAGAGCGTTACGGCATTAGATGTAAGGTCTATCTAGTCTGTGATTCTCTTTCCGCAGTGGCCAACTATTTCTTTGGGGGAAGTCCGGAAGCAGGATGTGAGTGCCATAGTACCCAGTACCTCATGATTCGCAGGAAGGAATATTTAGATTGCCTTTGATACTGGAGATAATACGTTACAATTGTTGGTCATCCTGCATGACTGAATAATATCTGATGGATTGAAGTGTGTGGATACAAAAATGAAGTGGCAGCAGAAAGTGGAGGGTGATGCACTTAAACCTTAGGTCAGCTCATGAGAGTGCCTCCCCACATACCCAAAAATGGGGATGGGGAGAAGTGTTCTGTCCTGGTCCACAAGATGACCCAGCCTGATTCATAACCTGGCCGTCCAGGGAAAACAACTCAAATGTAAATGAGTGGCTAGGTAGGCAAAATAAATCGCTGCACTCTGAGCCCAGTAAAATTGCAGTCATGTGTCTTAACATTGAAAGGCACTGGAAAGTAGAATATCCTCACCTTCTGTTTTGCTCTTTCGGTTATTAAAAAGAGAAAGTTGAAGAAATATCGACCAAGCATTTGTCTCTCTGTTAGCAGCACAAAATGCAGACCAAAGTTCTGATAAATTACATCTAGGGTAACATTATTCAAACGAAAAAAAGTGGGTGGTAAATAAAAGCAAAAGGATCTGCCATTGAGTTTAGCGACAATGAAAGGCCAAAGAGCTTCTGCTCTAACAAGCAGGCCATTTTGTTCCTGCAAGGCTGCTTGAGCAGAGGGTCTTGACTTCAACGGGAGCAGAACTGAACAGCCGCAGCGAAGATAATTCATGGCTGGCTTTCTTGCCTACAAATATGCCTGTTGCCTAAATAAGGCTTTTTGCCCCCTTACTCTGGAATAACCACGCAAGACCAAGTGTATGGATTAAACACGGGCCACACTTTATTAAAGACCATTCAGTTCTCATGAATATTGCCA